CCGTGCTGACTCTCATCATACGCACTCTCGAACCGATGCTGTCTGGCTTGCGTTATCGTGTAAATGACTCCGCCGACCAAGGCTTTAAGCGGGAGTGCATCTCCACCTTCGATCTGGATTTCTGCGCCTACGTAGTGCATTTATTTGCGGACTTCAAGCCCGCTCCTGTATATAGCGGGAAGAGAAGCTTGGATCGCGCTACAACTTGCAGCGCAAGCTGTCCTTGTTCCAGACGGAGATTTGATGTGCAGGTGCTGAGACTTGCGTTCAATATGTCAAATCAGATTAGCTCCGTGTCTGTGCAGCGCTACGTTTGATGATCTTTGAGTAGGGCTCCTCCCAATCGAAGCGTCATTCCTCAAGCTCCTGCGTCGCGCGCACATCGAACCCTCCATGCGCGCTCTAACCGGACTTTACCTGTCCGCGGCCTGCTGCCTATTCGGCCAAACACTCGCTTGGGATCAACAACCCGACGGCTACGAGGTGATCGACGGTCCCGATGGCCCCGAGTCCGTGGACGCATGGCGTCGTAACTGGACCGCCTGGAAGAAAATGGAGCTGATCACCAACCGGTACAACCCGAACGACTCGTTCAACGTGTACAACATCTAGCAAACTCAATGGACGCAGCAGAATTCCGTGCAGACGTTTCTTATGATGAACGACCGCTCCATCTACGATCGCGAGACCCAGCTGGAGAGAGGGGCGTTAAGATGATTATTGCTTCTAGCTAGGCCAGTTGAGGAGGTTTTGAGGACAGTACATGTTGGGCTTGGTGTTGTCCTAATAGGACAGTGGTCTGAGTTGCAGTCTGTCCTAATAGGACAGCTGAGTGTCCAGTTGTCGAGTGTCCTATTAGGACACGCGGACCCTGGCTTGTTTCGTCCTAAAACTCATTGTGTTGTCCTAAATATCGGTTTTTTTATGAGCCGAATTGCTAGTTTTTATCCCAGGTTTTAGGACAATAGGACACTTTAGGACTCCTAGTAGGACGCATTCTCTCCTACCGGTCTTCTTTCTGCAGTTGCCGAAGTTTTCCCATCCGCTGGACACCGCTTCTGCCTCCGCCATATCATGGATAATATCAACAGAGCCAACCATAGACTCTTTCTTCAAGACAGAGCAACAATCTGCTCTATCGCTCGTTCCGACTCTGAAAGTGACTACAACTTGTACATGAACGAGTTGGAGATTTCTAATTCAGGAGCCGCAGAATACCTTACTAAGAAGACTGAGGTAATCACACCGAGCGGTACCGAACAGAGTCTAGTGCTTCCCACTGAAAACTGGGTTAAGTATAAGTTCTTCGAGAAATTTGGCCTGTCAACATACGATGAAATTACTTCAAACATCTCCGAACAAGCCAATAATTTGATGGGGAAAGATCTGCGCAGCTCAAAACCGCTTGATGCGTTTAACCTGTATTGCTTTAAACTTGGCCAATTGATGTCTGATAAAAGAAATGAAGCAGCAGATTAGCTAGACAGCAGGAGTGAAACGGATCTTGTTCCTGTGCTGCTAGCCAAACGCGACAAACGAGCTGTTGTAGCTAAGATGTGTGATATTCAAGCACACGGCGAGGCTTTTTTCTCGGTACAGCACGTTGGGGCTTTACCAAAACCTGGATACATACACCCTTGGCGAATGGTAGATTTGAATTCGAAGGAGTGCACCTGTGGAAATTGGGAGGACGAACAATTTACCTGTGTACACGCGATTTGTGCAGCTACCAAACATGGTATGAGACTTGAAGAACTGTACGACGCACAACGGCTTTCAATTGGGCACTTCAAGGATATCTACACGTTTAAGTTTTTCCCGTGGCCAACGACAGAAAGCCTCGTAGCCAACCCGCAAACAAAGATACCACAACTAGTACCGGAGCCCGAGCGAATTGGCAAAAGGGGTAAGAAACCGGGACCACATCCGAAACATGCACGTAATAAGGCAAAAAATGCTTTGTAGGGACGACTTTTCCATTTACAATTCACCCAATAGGCTCAAACTTTAAGGAAACTAACGACACAAACAATTGCAATCGTTGACTGCTGATTAATAATTAAGGTATTTATTTCCAATAGATTATCTTACTGATCCTCACTCTCAATAAATATCAGCAGCAAACGGACTGGGGAGTCAAATTCTGTGAGTAGATATAACTCTTATAACGTACCCTGAGAGTAACCAGTTGGATACGTCGTGTACCCAGCTACTTCAACATCAACATGTTATTTCGGTGTACTATTGTTTAGATGCTCAAAACGCCTTTATTTATATGGTTGTTTTTGTGGAGTGCATGTAGTGGTTGGTGCATTGGTGACCAAGCCTTGCCCACTGCACTGGGCCGCACAGAACGTGCGGCCAAGCTGGCATAGGAAGTAGTAAGGTATAGTCGAGAGCTATAAGGTATAGTCGAGGACGTGACATCACGTACCGATAAGCCGTAGTGATAAGTTTAGTCAGGGAGTTTGAGTTCTCCTCCACACACAAGCAATAGATCAAGGCTAGATTGGAAGCGAGAATCTTCCGTAAGTGTGTGTTATAGGTATTTATACTACACGTAGCATGAGAAGCGTTGAGACGATTGCAGTTTTGTAGACCAATCCCCTTCTGTTGACGGGCTGTAAATCATGTATCCTCTATACTACGTACATCCCGCGCAGGGTTCCCAAAATCAGCACAATGCTTCCTGCGCTGTATCCATCATTGTAGATCACCTCTTTGTACATTTTCTTGAACATGTCGAGCTTTTTGTTCTTCGTGGTGGCAGTGTTACCGCTAGTGCGTCCACCCGAACTCAGTCGAATGAGCTGGTGCAAAACAGCCTTAACTTTCGTCACAATGTCACAAGCTAGAGAAGTCATGTCCTTCTCTTCAAGCTTCGAACCCGTAGATGCTGCGTGACTGAAGGCCTCGTACGTATTTAACAGGATCAACAAGGCGTGTTCAATGCCTTCCACATGTCCGCCAAGGATGTGCAGATCCGCCAGCTCTTGATGAATCAGCACGAAGGTTTTGCCCACTTCGACTGCGCCGAAGTAATGTAAGGCCTTCTCATAGTGTCGTCTGGCGATCTCCATGCGACTAGACAAGGCTGACGAAGGCGCGTCAGACTTGTCGGGAGCTGCGCTCTCCCTTTCAGCACGTAGCGTGCTCGAGATCATGCGGCTATAGAAGGAGGCAATCTGGTAATGAGTGGACGCGACTTGCTTCTGGTCGCCAAGTTCCGAGTAGAAGGACAGTGCCTTGTTGAACACCTTGAGGGCTTCCTGTTCGCGAGCCTTGGGAGAGCTTGCAGTGGTGTTGTTCGCCACGTCCACTGCCCACACCAGATACGTGAGAGCCAGCTCTCCCTTCACCTTCTTGTGTAGATCCAC